TGTGTAACAGTCTTTCCTCTGAAAAACGCATGGCAGATAAACGTCTGCGAATGTTTACAGAGCAAGCCTCGACGCTGAGAGCTTTTTGGAATTCAGTAGGCAGATGCAGTCAGTTCGCCTGTGGCGTTATTTTGAGACGATACAAGGAATGCCTGCACTTGTTGAGGAAATTTAGACAGAGAAAGCTGTCCAGTCAGGTCCTAATCAAAGTTCAGTTGACCGATGACCCCTCGCATACGTAAAAGCATTTCTATTGCCATGTCTCAGCCCGATGTTGTTGAAAATTTGTTCTAGCGTTTGTCGATTGGTTAGGTTTCCAAGTTTAGGAATAGTGTTCTTCAAAGCTTCTTGAAGTTATGGAACACCATTGGTAAATACTAGGTGTAAAAGAACTATTTTAAATGCGTGGTAGTGCTTTCACTACTGTGGTGAATTGTGAATGGGTATCTGACACCCTGTACTCGTGGAAGTTAGCTTCTGTGTGATGAAACCAGGCTTCTGTATAATCGTGCCAGAATGGCATGATTTGAGATAATGGAGACTTAAGATTTTTGACTATAAGTAGCTTACATGTCTGTTCTGTCATGATGTAGATAAAATATATCAGTGGACTAGAAAAAATATCCGAAAATATGAAAACAATAGCATAGTAGGTAAGAATAAAAGGTGAAAATATGAAATATGGTCTCCCACCAAGGAACATACCCACGGTTTATGAATCGGCGATGCAGATCACGTTTTTCCCACCACTGAAGATGCCACGGATATTCAGAGTTTCATTATTAAGGTGTTACGTGTAAGAGAGTTGTCAAATTTAACCAACTCAGACAAGTTAGAAGTCAGAAATGAAGGGTTTCGAATTATATATATTTCGAAGGCTATCAATACATCGAGAAGCGCCTTGTCTGAGCTGGGTAATAAGTGCAAGGATTATGGGCGCGGCTTACACACTCGTGCTCTGATGTGGATGCGTGACCGAGCGCCTCCAGCTGTGTGCGTTCAGCGAAACTGATGAGGTCAGCATCAATGTCGTAAACCTACAGAACTATTAATTTTGAGTTGTTTAACTTTAAAATAGTGTAGCGGTAAATAATTCCCCAAAATCAAATAGCTCTGTAAGTTTTCGACATGGATGCTGACCACAGTTTTAGTGGACTAATCTACCTGAAGGCGCTCGATCAAGCATCCGCACCAGATCAAGTGTGGGAACGCCGTGCTCAACATCTGCCTCATTCGCTAGCCAGATTAGTGCAGACGATCTCCTCACTTCTGTCTTTTGATTTTACTTGGTGGGTGCGCTTCATATTAGAAGGTGTTACTGGTTAAAGCGTTGTCAAACTCCGAATACCTGTGGCATCTTCAATAGAAACCAAAGCACAGTCCAGTTACACAGGAGCCACCAAGCAACTGAAAAAGAACAATACAGCCTGCAAACAGAATTTCATGAAAGACCTAGCAGCAGGAACCGAAAAAGCTGCAAGGGGAGGAAATATGCAACGATTATATTATACAACAAAGCATCTACACGGAAATAGATTAAGGCAGGAAGGCAAGACAATCCCTGAGATTGAAAGACAGGTGGGTAGAGCATTTGTAAGAACTTTTAAATAAGCCAGCGCAACTGAACCCACAGTGCACATTGACCATCTTTTAACTGTTATTCCACCAATGATAGGAAAAATCAGGCTGCTTATCAGACAACTCAACAGTTGGAAGGCGACAGATTCAAAGATTATACCAGCACTGAAGTCAGACATAGAGGCAATTCAAAACATGTTCCACGTTCTTTTTCAGAAAGATTTGAGGGAATAACATATGCCGGCAGACTGGGAAGAAGGGCATTTAATCAATATAACAAGGACAAAGTACAAATGTGATGGTTCGTGCTCCAAGTTAAAACGCATTGGCATATGGACGCGTTGTGTTAGTGCGCATTTATTAATAGTTCACAGCATGCTGATGTCAAATCATGTGACTGAAGTTGTAAGCCTTAACCAAATAATATATGAAGCGTTAAAATCTCCAACGACGTTAGAGCGGTTAGCCTTACTTCGTGAAAAGATGTGACTTGAGATAAAGTTGTAGGCAAGACAATTTGACCACAATACATTCCTCCTAGTATCAGCAACGCATTAATAGAAAGCTGTTTGTCTCACGAATATCACTATTTTGCGCCTCCTATGTACTAAATTTTATGTCAAAGTGATCTTTTAGATAAAACGTTGCTTCCTTTCCTGCGGTTTGTGACTCATTGCAACGCATCTGAGTTATGGTCTCTTCTCCGAGCATTCGAATGCTCTGACGAGATGTTTCAAATTGTATATCCCATTTACGTAAGATCACACTTGGACTACTTTTTTCACGCATCTGGTCTATGTCTGATTAAGGATATCAACTTAATTGAGCGTGTGAGAACAAAATTGGTATTGGCAGCTCGTATCTTTAATTACGATTTCGGTGATAACATGTCTTATCTTTCTCCTACCTCCAGTACTAATAATCTTCGAGGCTGTAACGAGAAGGTTCACAAACCGTGATCTAATAAACTGAGAGTGCGGTTCTGTTTTTCTCATTGAGCGGTCGATGAATGTGACGCCTTACTCGAACAAGTGGTATCAGCGTAATCCGTGAACATTTTCATCGAGAATCTAGACCTTCACTGTAAAACTAACTGAAGAGATTAATGCAAGTTCACCAACTTTTTATCCTTATTATTGGAGAGCGATGACCGAAATTAGCACGTCATAGAGCTACAGACATCGGAATCCTCATTACCTAAAAATACTAAGATTAGTCTCGCCGGTTCGATCAGTAAGACTACTTTATCACTTCATTTAATTTCCTGGTAACAAATCTGGTCGTATATGAGTGTTCGAGTTGCTAATGCAACATGAATTGTTCGATATCAGTTTCAGTTTCGGTTTGGAAAGGACACGAGGCTTGATGGCTTGTGTTAGTCCTTCCAGCATGATGTCCATTTTTTCGTCACTTTGCATTGGCAGTGTTATTTGAGGAAAAATAGCGAAGCTGGCTTGGAAACGATAACTTGTTTGGTTTTTATACAATTTCCGAGGACGAATTGCGAAAAGTGTAGTAACTACCATAATTGCGAAATTGTACCAATAACAAAAATTAACTTGTGGTAGTTGAGGAAATACATTCAACTCTATGAAAAAAACGAAAAAAATGGTGAGAAAATTACAAAAATATGAACCAAAAACAAAATGTCTGCTGACAAGACTTACAGTAGAAACCGAAATATTGCTCGGAGCGTAAAGTTTGATTTTAAATCTAAGCTCCTAGTATAATACTAGCAACGTATGCCGAATGCCTCAAAACGTTGAAAAATTCCTTTTTGCAAAAATATGTGTATTCAATTTGATATAATTTGTCTAGACACGGCTCCTTATCAAGTGAAACAGTTTTCTGTTCTACCTATTACCATTTCAATCGCCTGATTTGGCGGAATTACAAAAATGGCCTTCAGTAAGTTTTCAGTTAACATGAAGACGGATAGTGGTCAAAATTGTTACACTTCTCATCAGCACAGCTATAAAAAAACATATAGAATAGTGCTTTTAATTGACACTAAGAGCTAAGCAAATCCGTGCTCTTTGTGAACAGGAAGGATGATCCTGACGTGGTTTTTTATTCTCGGACTCAATGTATCTACGCAACAAAAGTACTATTTTGGAACCCCAAAAACCTTTTTACTGCTTAATTACCTGTAAATTATCTACTTTGAGTTTCATTCGAGTCAGTAGCTAACCGTACGGTTAGCTACGTAGCCAACTACGTACGTAATTTTGCTTCAGTTTACTTTCCGAGATTTTCTAATCTTGGCAGTCCTAAGGGGAAGTGGTCACACCGTCATGACTCGGTTTTATTAGCGATACTGGGCTGAAACATTCTTCTAAAAACAGGTGTTTAAGCAATCCACAGCAGGTGGTCTTTCGCTAACTACTAAAAAATGCCTTACAATCATACCATGGACTAGCATTTTTGGCGAATCCCAAGCTCCCAATTTCGGGGAATATTTTTACCTATTTTGGGGAAAAGGCACAAAAACCCCAAAATTTAACCACACCTGGGGAAATCCCCCAAAATATCCCCTGACTTTGGGGTTTTTCCCCAAAGTTGAGATTTAACGGTGCGACTTTTTAATCAATCTTAAACACTTTTATTCGGCTTCTTATATAGTATAGAAGCATAGCGTTTCCTCTCTCAGTCCAAGAGGATAAGAATGCACTAAAACGTACCCAAAGGAGAACCACGAAATCAGTTCGGGGACTCAAATTCAAACCTTATGAAGGGCACTTCAAACCTCTTAATCTTCACATATAATGGCATAGGCGTCTTACAAGTGGCCTAATGACTTATAACATCTAAAACACTGCTGAGCATCCCCTTACCTACTTACTTAAGCTCTGTCATAACACAAACCTTAAGTGTAACATTCAGAAGTTAAAGATGCAACATAACATAATGGACTATAGGGATACCTTTTACTCTCTGCGATTAGTCGAATCCTGGATTTTACTACCTGCTTAGCGGAAGCTTCTATTCGTTCCACAACAATTTAAAGAGAATAGCTATTTCTTTCAACTTTACTAGTGGTAGTCAAATAATGCGGTTTTATTGTGACAACATAAGTGTGAAACTGTGGTTTTGCAATATTACTCTAATTAGTTGTTGGTTCATATCAACTCAACCTAATTTGGCTCAAGTGACAATGTAGGGTAAGTGCTCTTTGCACTGAAAATCAGTAGAATTGGAATTCTCAGTGGCTTACTGCATCAACTATTGGAGTTAGTTTAGCAATTAACGTGCACATCTCCATGTATTTATGGGTAGCATTATATGTTCTTTATTCCCTGTGTTTTTGTTCCCACTATTTATCATTCGTTTGCCATCTTTTTTTAGTGACTGTAACTGTGTGCAATTCATCAGATAATTAAATACACCTAAGTTGCGTATATTATTTAAAAATTCAATGTAATATGAACACGCAATTAGTTGAATATTCATCTAGTGATGAAGAAAAAACTGAAAAACTGGAGCTGCCTACAATACTTCAAGATTTAAATTCTGATTCCTTCCGTTTTTTTGTTCGTGAAGATGATCCTTCGAAGCATGATTTTCGTAGTAGAACTTTTCCTCATGAACCTGGGAGTTGGGCCACTTCCGTTTATATTGCATGTAATCATAACAACGTCTTGTATTGTACCAAGGTTCTTATTTGCATTCTAGAATACTTGAGGCGATCAAAGACCCCGTAATTCAATCAAACCCTGTAATGGGTGATTGTCATACTGTGGATTCTCCTCACATAAGTTTGTCGAAGACATGGCCTATTTATTTTCATTGGATTGAGAATCTCGTTTGTAATCTTCGTTCTGCTGTAAGCTCTTTCGGAAAGTAAGATTACTCCATGCATACTTAATCAGTTGTAGGTTTTGGATTGCGCTTGATGGCGTAGAAGTTCTTGTAAATGAAGAAAACACACGGTACTCATTTCCTACTGCTTATAATCTGTAGATCATTTTTCACTTTAGTAACTTCTGAAGAGTCACGCATAGCACTGCTCTCTCTACTCAATTTTGTTGATTCATGTGTTACTGCGTTTAGAGGACCAAAGTATTATGAAGTGAGACAATCAATTTCCCTGTCATTCTTCAGAATCCTAAATTTCATATGAGTTTTTTGTGGTGTAATGGGGATGTTCGTAAGAAGTATTCAACAGAAACACTAAACAATTTTTTGGTAAGACAACATTTCTCCATGAATTATCTATACAGATGGACTTGCGAAAAGCAATATTTGTAGAATCTAAACAAATATTCCATGAAGTTACAGATGTAGTATGCAAAAGCGGAAACAAATATTTCGACATAAATATATTGTGATCTTTTATGTAAATAGATGTACTGTGCTTTGAAATAATCGTATTTCTCTACAAGCTTATTTATTTTGAAGCGTACAAAATCTTGCACAAAACGTACCAATTTTATTAGCATCAACTTTAATTAAAATAGACTGGAATAGTTTGATATTTAAGGGGGATATGATTTCGAAAAGGAAAAGTGAGACATTTAGCGGTCCGATATCTGACTCCAAGTGGATCTTTAGATTGATTGTTATTGAATGATTGCTGTCGAAATATATACATCGCCAATCCTCGTATATACTCATCGACTTAAATCGTGTTGGTGAATAACGGGATTGAGTTGGAGACGTATATTTCGCACAATCATTGATCTGGATAGACAATCAAATGGACGAAGCGAAGGAGGAAAAATGATGCGCGGCGGAGATGGCGTATGAGCTAACTCGATTTACTCAAGCGTTATTCGATATTTATGGCCACATAGGAATGTGACGAATAAGATAAGAAATGCACACATACACACCCCCCAAATACCCTGGTACGACCGAGAGTGGGGAGTCAGCTCCCCCTCTCGAAATGCTCTCACATGGTCACGTGCATAAAACCACTGCCAGGAAAGTCCTACTCACTGCCTCCTTGCAGCAGGGGCGTTGTTTACGACATTAAGAGGATGAAAAGATGTCAGGAGCTTTAAAAGGGTTGGTGGACACGGAGAGTCCATCTGGGGGAGTTGTAAAACCCTAATTCCAAATCAGTGGTGCACATGAGCTCTAGTATTTTGAAAGAACGAATGGCATATGAATTAATTGTTGGTCACCACCTACCAATGGACCGCATCCTCTGCCGTTGTTCCACTGCTTTTTAGATTAGACCTTCAGGTCGAAGTCTCGGAGTGTGGTCTCCGAAGAAAACCACTTGCTTCGATTTGGGCACCCAGTCATTATCCCGGCACTCACAAATCGAATGATTTATGTGGCGCATATCTATTTGGTGCCTTCTTGTACCAATGTTTATGTGTTTAAATAAATACATAAAAACAGTCAAGCTTGATAAGCCAATAATTACTAAGGTCAAAATGTGACTCAAGAAAGGTTAATAGATCAGCTTGTCCGGAAGCTAGAATGAGTTAGTGGGCTTAACAATAGCAACCGACACTACAGACACTTATGTACTATATGGTGGCTGGTTTTGGGCTACGTCATTCTGTTCCCGTTTCCTGGTTTTTAGAATCTAGATAACCCCGGCTATGTATCGTATGCAACCGTTCCCCTCATTATAAAGGGAAATCACATCACCAACGAGTCCGTTCTCCATTTTTTTCAGATTCTAATCCTCACCTATTGGTAGTTTCACCACACACAGTACGCGAAGCACCTACGACCTAATACGTTTCAGTCACACTTTAGGGGTTAAGTAGAACTGTCAAATGCTACACAAAGTTGTAACTTGGTTGCCCTGTTTCGATATTATCAATGCTGGGGATACGAACTATGGGACTCAATGATCACAAGTTGCGCTCTCTGGATCGATTAAAAAAAGGTGCAATGTTTATTTCGTAACTGAACACCTAATCTTGGTTACTAGGTTATTTAGACTAAATGTAAAAGAAGCAAAAATTTCTATAAAGGATTACTTAGGTGTTTGTTTCATAGGACTTCATATAGATCAAATTTTTGATGGACAAGTAAAATGGTATGTTCTGCTTCTTTTTAAGTGCTTAGCAAAGTTGAAAGCTGAAAATGTGAAGGCGTCTCACTGCATAATCTATTGGAGAATGAGAAAATAAATAGAGCGTTAATCTATCAAAACTTGTAACAAGTAAGGATTTCAATCGAATTTCGGATTATGATCCAAGTTTCGTATAAAAGAAATAACTGTCGATTTAGTGAACTCCATTCAGGGGCAGAGTTACATATTTACGTTTTCGTGAAATGAAATAAATTTCGATTTATGGAACTCTTAGTTTATGAAGAGGGATAATTAGTGTTTGTTTGCGTATCCAGATGATTAGGTCGAATGAGATCGGAGTTGCGTTCGTATCAAATACACCACAAGAAAATCAAGATTGCTAGAGTTTACATTTATTAGATCTTATTAAGACTGATGGCACGGATATGCATTCCTTCTGTATATTACAACGCGAACATGGTGTAAAAGCATCGACTTAAAAGTCAGAACAATATATTTTCAGTCAATACTTGAATCCAAACAATAATTTAAGTGCTACGGTAATAGAGAACTGAGTTTGTAAAAAAACATCGGAAGATGTATAGCCTTATTGTACAAAAGTTTACAAGTTGGTATGAATCCAAATAATCATCCTAGTTAGCACACCATTATCTTCTGACCGCAAAAGATATATCATATAAACAGTCTACTGGAGCATTTTCAGAAAACAAGACTATAGAATTATGTCCGATCAATAGGTTTTGCATGCATAAAAATGTTCTATATTTTACTGGGTGTTTGTACTTGATTGGTAATATATGGTAAGATAGTGTCTCATCGATCCTAGCTTCTTGATATCAACCGGAGTTCACCTCGTACTTTAAGCTGAGCGACGATTTGGGCCTTACGTATATTTATTCACTTGGTATTGTTTGCTTGGATCCTCTCATTGATGTTTAGGACTGTCACTGATCAATGGGAAGATTCAAGCAAACAATACCAAGTAAATTTAAACTTCACCTCATTGCACAAAAAAGTAGCTATCAGGACTCAGTAGCTAAGTGGATAACGTGATGGCATTTGAAACGAACGTTACTAGGTTCGAGCTTTGGAGTGAACAATAATTCTAGGATGCGTGTACATCCAGCCGGTGAGTCCCGAATAGGACGGAACGCCCGTCCTACATTCGATTGCTAACCACCATATTTCCTTTTGTATATTGGTTTGAATTATTCCATAAGGATTTCGTAACTAACACTAATCTTGAAGAACTTATATAAATTTGGAGTTAAGGCTAGCCTTATTTTGTAACTTTACTTTTCATCCATCTATCAACAAAGGATGGTGCTCGCTCAATTCACCCTAGTAAAAACTGAGCAGAAGGTTAGAAAAAGCACTTAGTGTGAATATTCTTAATCACTAATCTAACCGAAAGTCACTTCACTGTTGAAGTGGAACGGCTTGTGAGCTTTTATGAGGAAAATATTAAAATGACATTCAATTCGTTGTAATTTAGTGAATAATAATTATGAGAAAAATACTGCAAACATGTTAATCAGAGAATCACAGCGCCGATATCACAACTATAGTTAAAGAGTAAGATATAGCCAGAACATAATATCAAGAGACTTCTTCATGTGCTGAGTAATGTTGCATAAATGTATATGTCCATGACAGGAATTAAGATATACAAAAAGATAATACAATTTTAAGTCAGGTGCTTATATGGATGTAAGATTATTTCTCAGCTTGTTCCGCTAGTTCACTCATTGATGTATAGGATGAGACTGGTGTCATTTGTTGAGTCCGCACCAAACCTTGTTGAGCCATGCTTGCTAGGAGACAGCCTTCTCTATTCCAAATGTCTCCATATGAAAGTGTCAAAGCGCCACCTGCACACCAAGAAACAAAGTTTTAATTAAGATGGTTAGATAGCAATCCTGAATGTCCACCAAAGAAGGTTAACAGAATGTTTTACAAACTTGAGCAGACTGAAGAACTAGAAGATTTCCTAACATAAAGTTAAGTAAATCACAGAATTTTCAGAAAAAATACTGTTAAAGGTTGTACATTAATATAAATCATGAGTTGCAAGCTTTTATAGACACTCCTACATGAGATCATACCAATAATCAAAATTAGGCAGTGGTTTTCTGTTAACCCAGTTCTTTCTATAGATGGATTGATACACCGTGTCTACAATTTTTCGCATACTACTCTAATAAATTACTGCGTGTAGTTCATGTGACTTCAACAATTCAAAATGCACAACTTGTTTTCTAATTAAATGATATAAAATCTTGGCGGATGAACAGAATAAACCCTATCCCCATGTTTATAAGACGATACTAAACATTGATGAAGATAGCGAAATCTAGAATGATTGTAGTGATCGCTCAAAATGAAATGATTTCGTAGCAAATTTAAAACTAGTTCACACTACTGTGCTGTTGAGACTTTGTAACATGGAAAACTGTCTAATAATAATATAGTTCAGTTATAGTACTTTTACTACATTGTCTTTTGAACTCGAATATCCTTATTGAAAATGACTTTAAAAATAGGATTATTAGTAAACAAAAAGGTAATGATTACCACCGAACACTGTTCCAAAATTGATAAGCTGCAATAGCTGACGAACCTACGTAATTTGCTCTTGTTCCAATCAAAATCCATTCGTCCGGCTTAATCTCTATTTCGGGATTGTGAAACCATATGCTTTGATTTAGTGTGACCAAGTATAAAACATGATGTGGTTCAGTAAGAGCGACCCATAACAAAAAAGCATCCGATAAATACGCTAGGAAGGCATCACGGTGAGAATGTAGAGAGGCGGCTAGGAAACGGAAAACAAACAAACAGATTTTTTTAAAGTAGTATGACTTCTGTACTATTCACATAAACCCAGTAAACTATTATATTATATAGTAAGTAATTCTCCCAAACAAGGTAAGTGCTCTAATAAATAGTGATTGTATTAAGCACATACTCCTAACATGATAGGATATAAACATGTAAAGTTTGCTGAAAAATATCAATAACTGAAGGAACCATTTAGCAATCTAGTGCACTCACTCCTTTTAGTAATACAGCACACCAAAAATATTTCTAATGCTTTTAGAGTAATAAACGAGTGAAACAATATTGTTTCTGAAGGATTAGCTATCAAATAAATTTACACTTTTCATCTATCAAACTGGAGCGCAGTGATATTACACGAAAAAGACAGTAGAGAATCGCCTGAATCCTTTAGATGGATAGTTGGTTCAAC